AAAAAGAAATAATATATTATAATATTAAGTACAATTATGAGATACCTGATATACATGTATATGGTGTATCTACAAAATTTTTCATAAATGTATACATCACAATTTAAATAAAAATTACAATATATATTCTGCATCTTAATATTATATTATAATATATTATTTAGTTTAAAAATAAACATAATTTACCTTAGGTGCTTTAAACAATGTTTTATTGCGAATTCTCAATATTTTGTTTTAGAACTGGTAGAGGGGTATCCATCTTTACATGACGGCATAAAATAATTTTTTGACATGATCTAACCAATTAAATTTTAACAAGGTAAATTAAAAAAAAACTTTTATATTTTGATTAAATGATGTGGTGTAACATTTATCAATCATTTGTACAATTTTATATTATATAATACTAATATATGTAAGACCAATATCCTATGGCACTTGTGTAAAATGAGTATGACTACTATTGTCATCGGCATCCTTACTCCAATACATGAACATTTAACTAATAAGGACTGGTCACTTAATAAGAATTGTGAATTCTTCCTGTCACATAATCAAATAAAATCGCCACTGAATACTAGTATTCGGTTCGCTCTTTCGTTTCAATCATAAAGCCAATGTGAATTGACCAAAAAATATAAATTATTTAGAGTTAGGAACCAGTCACCTTTTCAACTTAAAGTCACTTATTTTTAGTGTCGTTACAAAAAGTAATTATTTATATATTAAAGCACCTTAAGTCGATTTTTAAAATTATTATTACCTATTTAATATAATTATTATTATCAACCAGCTGCAGCTAACTTGCAAACAAATGTATGATAGAATTGAGTGAATTGTGAATATTGATTATTTGAATATTTAAAGGGGTTTAAAATGTCATTTATAATGTTATAACTATAAGTTATAGATATTCCACACCAGAAATAAGATAAAACAGATTAGCTGCTCTCATATGTATTATTGATTCATTGTCAATATTTTACTATTATATATATATATATATATATATATATATGTTGTACTTGGATTTAACGATCCGTTAGAATATTAAAAAATTAAAAAAATAAAAAAAAATATTGAATTTAATATTTGAAAAATATTCTTATAAATGATATACCAGTTTTAATAATACAATTATTGAGTATTTTAGTTTTAATGTAATGATCTTCAGAGTACTTTAATATACTTTACAAATACATGTATAAAGTTGCTACTACATTTAATAAGACAATATAAATAAACCAGTTTATTTTATACCTACCCATAAACATTGAATTTCATTATAAAGTATTTATAAATTATTCAAATACACAATAAAGATCATTAAAATAGTTTAGTTATAATATATGTTTTTAATTAATGTCACGTTGTCTTCTTTGTACTATAGCTGCTTCTTTTGCGATCAATATTGCTTGTATTCTTGCTATTACAACCTCAACAGCTCGAGCTTGTTCTAATTCTAGCCTAATTTCTTCATCTATAGCCATTTGCATATTCATTTCTTTAATTATTCTACGCTCTTGTCGAATTGCTCTCTTGTGGAGACGTTCTCTTGCTCTAATTACTTCATCTACATCGTTTTTTTTTCTTTCTTCTTCTTCTT